TATATAAATTAATTTAATTTAAAATATCATTATCAATATTAATTGTGAAATTAAAACCTGATTTTTGATTAAAAAAAGTTTAAACCTAATTTTTAGAAAGTTGAAACTAAACACCTGGTTTAGTGCAATTTTCAGATTAAGATGCTACTCTGGATCCATACAAATTTTGCAAAAATCAAACAAAGCGAAAAAGCCCTATCGCCCTCCGATTGCGTAGTCAACGATGAGCCTTTGGCCTTGTGAGTTATGACCCGTCGATGCTTTGCCTCCACCATCCGCCGTTGTCTACTGCGGCCGTCACTATGTGAGCCTCTCTTATTTTTTTTTTTAGTTCATTTTTTGACGTAATTTTCATTGGGAATGTTTTATGATTTATGAATATATTATTTATGTTTTATGACAATGGTCTATGAGCCTGCTGCTGAGGTTTATGAAGGAAGGTTGTGTGTGTGTGTGTTGTATAGTAGAGGCCTAATTTTTTCCTCTTTATAGAATATTTTGACTGATTTTATTTCTTTATTATTAAATTTCTTTTTGTTCCTATTGCTACAGATCTTTTTGGTGACTAGTATTCACTTTGTATAGAAAGGATATTATTGGCATTACAATTGGATTACATCTGAAGCCATTGTCTTTGGATACAGTTCAAGTATGTTGTGGGTTTTGCTTTCTCTAGTTGTATTAGGCAGGAAAATACTTTGTCTATTGGTTGATACGCTGATTTTATACATTATGAAAGAATGTATTCTTACCATTAGTCTGACTTGCCAAATACAAAACTATGTTCTTTTGTTTTTGGTTCTTCAGGTTGCATATGGCGCAAACGGTAGTTGTGGAACAAGTTATACTCATTAACAAGTACCTTAGTGCCCCCAAAGTGCCTCTTATGGAACTTATACTAAAACTTATTCAGCCCTGGTAACTTAAAAACAATTCTCAGAGTCGTAATTTGGGAATGGATAGTTCCCTTTGTTGGATATCATAATATACTCATAGATGTAATTTCTTTATAAAAGCATAAATCAACACCACATTTGATATGTATCAAGAAGTGAAGTTTCTCGATTTGCCATCATTTACTTTGATAAATATATCCATTATAGATATGCATCAGCATATTATGCACTAGTTTTTGTTTGGCATTGGAGCTTTTTGATTTAAAATTAGAAATGATTTACGAATTTACTTTGTTTTTTTTTTACTTTTTCAGAAATGGGGGATTTGTGATGAATGATAAATTAGTGCATATATGTGTGTGTGTGTGTGAATTATTATTATTTAATTAAATATTAATAAATTACCTCGTTATTATGGTAATTAACTGGCGACGATCAATGGTCAATAGTCAAACGGCCGCCCTAGCTCACTTGTACCCCTAGATCCGCCACTGTGTATGAATATCATTTTTTGCTAGAATATTTGCTACTGATGTATATGACTTTGTCACTTTTCTTATGTCAAATATATCTGATAATTGATTTGCAATTCTTTGCAAATGAGTGATTTTTTCAACATCTTGCCCACATCGATTGCTGTGAGGATTAAAGTGAGATATAGTTTTTTTTTCATTCCACGAAAGTTTACATTGTTTTTAATGATGTAGTTTTTTCCCTTCCAAAGTTAGGAAAGTCATTTCAACAAAATGATAATTTACAAACCTGTAGTAAATAAATTATCTGTTAAATGTTCAAAATACCTAATAATGGAGGTGAATCAAAAATCACATATATCCCACGTTTTCATTGGGGAGTCATTTTAGTACGTTGGGGGGAGGGGGGTCAAATAGGGACTAAGACAGCATAACCAAAAATTCGTAGGTGAGAAATATTAGGTTTATGACAAAATGTCAGTTGCAAAGATGAATATTGATAATAGACAGTTGGCACAATACACATCAATGACGTAGCATGTAATATAGTGTGACTCCAAATAGAAACTGTGAGTTTTGTTTTCATGAGTAATAGTTTAACAATAAATTGTAGACGTGACAAAAGACTCCGTTAAACTATTTTCTGTATGGACATGTACAACCGAATGTTCAATAACAATCACAATTTACATGCAATAATTATCGAATGCTTGTGATCTAAATTTACCAGTATTTTCAAAGCAAATAGTATTGATTGAGTAATCGAAAAATTGCGCTCTTAATTTTATGATTTGAGCAAATAGTTTAGTAAAAACTACATTACAAGTGAGAAGTAGGTAAACATGTGATTATCTAATAGAAGAATAAATTAAAACCATAATATAATAAAATGATAACATGGTGGGTGTATTGGCGGCCTACATATATCTTCACGAATTCTTTCCAAAAAAGTTGGAGATTCAATATTGGCATTTGTAGTCAAATGTCTAATAATTAACTTGCCTTGCGAATAAGCTACACATGGATAATCATTAGGTAAAAGGATCTTCTGATTTTTTAAAGGATGTCCTGTGAGTTGTTTATTTTTCGACGCATCATTATAGTTCCTGGATGTCCAAGTTGATAATGCCAATGTATAAAACTTTTTGGGTCAACGAATTTCTGGTTTATCACAATATTTGATTCAACAATTTTACCATTTTTATAAATGTATAATACATGCAAGATGGAAATGCATGAAGTTTTTGGCCAGATACAAAAGAAGTAATGCAAAAAATTCAATATTATTTTCTTGTATCGTCTCAATGTATTATTAATTATTCACTGCATCAGATATCTTCAAAACTAAGCATATTTCATTTGGATTTGTTAGAATAAAGTGTACCGTCAATATATAATTTTTATATTATTTGGTAAAATGATACAACTCTTCTGGAGCTTTCAACGATAGTCGATAAATCCAATATCGTATTAACATTATTTTCTGCTAGTGTTAAGTCCAATTTTTTATTTTTATTTTATTTAAGAAGAGAATGTGTAGTTGCATTATTTATCAAGCAGGTGACTTGACAATCCTAATGAATCTTCAAACTAATTTACTTTATTTTTAGAAAATTGTGCTCATAATGTGTGATTAAAAAATAGAGAGAGAGAGAGAAGAATATAAGAGTCAAAACTCAAATGTATATTTTATTGAGAATCGATACCCGTATTTATAGGGTCTAAAATAAGAGTTAAATTGGAATGAAATAAATTCGCTGAACTATATAAGATTTACCTATGTATCACGATAATATTATGGCGTGTTCGGGAGATATTAAAATTAGATTAAAATTGAAAAATTAACCGTTATTGTTGACTTTTATTAGACGAGTGAGATCAGATCTCACGATAATATTATGGCGTGTTCGGTAGATATTAAAATTAGATTAAAATTGAAAAATTAACCGTTATTGTTGACTTTTATTAGACGAGTGAGATCCAATAATTGCTATATTTTTAATTTTAATTGGATTTTAATATTTATCAAATAAGCACTAAATAATCATCAATGATTATCTCATTAGTTTATAACATACATGATTTAAAAATTCAATTAGTAAATCTTATTCCTTGTTTGAGCCACCTTTTTGTAGAATGAGAATGAAAAATATCGTCGTTATTGGGGGACATACAAGAGATACAAAATTTGAATTTGAATTTAAATGTTGATGTGATGGATAACGATCATATTTTTCATTTTAATGAGATTAAAAGGTGGCCCAAACGGGGGCTTAGATTGGAGAAACATTTGCATTGGAGTAAAAGTATCACATATCTTTCTATATATAAAAAGTGCATATTTAACGGAATTTGTTGGTTTAATGGAAAAACTAACGGAATTTGTTGTTTGAACGGATTATATAACGGAATTTCTTGTTTTAAACAGGCAGCTGCACCTTCCTTCAATATTTTTATCATAATTTTGTATTCCAATGTTCGATTGAGGTGATTCAAAATGCATTGGAAAGCTAACCCATCTGGCTACAACTTTGATTCAAACATCATTCTCCAATTAGATCACTTTCTATGCCAAAAATATGTTTCAATATAATGGACTATGTAACGGAATGTTTTGTTTTAAATAGGCAGCTGCACCTTCTTTCAGTGTTTTTATCATAACTTTGTATTTTGATATCCGATTGAGGCGATTCAAAATGCATTGGAAAGCTAAATCATCTGGCTACAACTTTGATTCAGACATCATTCTCCAATTGGATCACTTTCTATGCCAAATATAGGTCTTAATATAACGGACTATGTAACGAAATTTCTTGTTTTAAACAGGCAGCTGCACCTTCTTTCAATATTTTTATTATAACTTTGTATTCTGATATCCAATTGAGACGATTCAAAATGAGTTGGAAAGCTAACTCATCT